AAACCCCAAAACCCCAAAACCCCAAAACCCCAAAACCCCAAAACCCCTTATAAGGATATAAATATTGAGCTGGGAATATAATTATTAGTTAAAATTTACATGGAAGCACTGGATAAATTGAGAATTGAGTCAAATTCCAAATATACTAAGCAATTAGCTAAAGATGAGATAGTGATGTTCTCTGAGAAAGTTATGAAAATTAATAGGCATGGAATCCCTCAGGAGAGAATATTAGTTCTCACAACAACCCATCTTTATGTATTCAAATAAGTACAAGCAGTCCAGAAAGACTCACATAATTCTCTTTGATTGAGCTATTCTGAGAGCACCTTCGATTGATGATGATTCTCAAAAGAATCAGGTTGTTTTACATTGTCCATCAGAGTTTGATCAGCGATATGACATCAAAGATCGAGATAGTTTTCTGTCAGTTCTCCAACTCAGGTTTGCAAATATGGATAGAAGGCATACTTTCAGAATTTATGAAGTCAACGATAACTTAAAAATGTATACAACAACATTGAAAGACAGAAAATATGGCTTGATAAAGCTTCCTCCAGAGAAATGAAGGTGTCCAGACAAAGAAATAGCTTGCTCTGATGAATACAAAGAAGAAGAGGATGAGACCTACAACTCTGAAGAAGATAATGAGAGCAAGACTAACTCTGAGTCTGAACCAGAGGTACCTGATGAGCGCAGGTCAAAGTCCATTGTTGGAAATATCCCTGCGCAAAATTCAAGAACCTCTGTTAATGCTATAAAGCAAACTTTGCTTGATAAGGAAGCGAGGTTTAATCCTGATGATCTTGTGAGAAGGGAATCATTGATGATATTCCAGTCTGCCATGCAGCCTGAACCATTAACTTTGGATGATTTTGAAATCACAGATTTCCTGGGACAAGGAACATTTGGAAAGGTTTATCTTACCCAGCTAAAAAGTACTGGTGAAAAGTATGCTATTAAATGAATAGACAGAGATATCCTCATTGAGTATGAGCAGGAGGAGAATACCAAGCTGGAGGAGCAGATCCTCCTCTCCTGAGATCACGAGTTCGTTCTTGGAATGGATTTCGTCTTTGAAAATGAGAAAACCATTTATTTCGTCATGCCTTATGTTAAAGGTGGTGAACTATATAGTCAGCTTAAGGCAGTCAAGAGATTTCCTGAAGAAGTTGTCAAATTTTATGCAATCCAACTTATCATGGGTGTAGGATACCTTCATGAGAACGGAATCATACATAGAGACCTTAAGCTGGAGAATATTCTTATTGGTGAAGATGGTTATCTCAAAATAATCGATTTTGGCCTTGCAAAGATTTTAAAAAATGAGGAAGAAACCATGACATTCTGAGGAACCCCTGAATATCTCTCTCCTGAAGTCATTGGGAATAAAGGTCATCACAAAGCAGTTGATTGGTGGGCAGTTGGAGTTCTCATTTATGAAATGCTTATTGGAGTAACTCCATTTTATAATAGAAACAGGAATAAAATGCTCGTGAAAATACAATTTTCAAAAGTAGTCTTTCCTGATAAATCGAAGTATAAAATTGATTATTCCGAGGAAGTGCAAGATTTTATCTTAAGACTTCTTGTGAAAGACAAAGATAAGAGACTTGGCACTGAGAGGGATAAGGAGGAACTTTTTGAGCATGCTTGGTTTAAAGATGTAGATATTGATGGAATCATTAATAAAGCAGTCAAGCCTCCATTTATACCTTAGAATAAATGCAAATTTTACCATTTTCGAGTGAAACAACAGATTTTAATGTTACTTATCAAATATTTTTATTAAATTTTTTGGTAAATTCTTCTAACATTTTCTTCAACTCCTAATTAAATACAAGGGGTTTTGGGGTTTTGGGGTTTTGGGGTTTTGGGG